GAAAGCCAACAAGAGTAAGAAAAAAAAATACTTGAACAAATTTAATCTGTTATGTGCTGTGGTGGCAAAGTTTTAAGGCATAGGTCGCGTAACCCAAAGATCATGGGGTCAAACAATATCCATGCCTACAAAGGTATCTATGACCGTAAACTATCTGCTGTTTATTTGCACTCAGGTGTAGACAAAAGTGTTTCATGTTCTGCTGTGTGAATGCGTCAAAAGTTGAAATACTGAGATTAACGTTATTTGTCCTCACTTAAGAAATCCAACGAAAGTAAGACTATAACCATGTTGTGTGGCGAGGTGGCCAAGTGTTAAGGCGCCGGTCTTCTGAACCCGAAGATCATAGGTTTGAACCCCTTTCTAGCCTGGAAAGCTATATATGAATGTAAAGTGGTACAAACATTTTTTCCCTCAGTGTTCAACAAAATTGGCTTTGTGCTCTACAATGTGCATACTTTAAGGATGAAAAAAAGGTACAAAGCACATGCTCCTCTATTGTGTGGTGGCCAAGTGGTAAGGCTTTTGTCTCATACACCAAAGATCATTTGTTCAAACCCCATTTATGCCTATCAAGGTCTGTTTAAATCACACAGCTAGGTCGTCTACGCTATATGTATTTCATTCACAGTTGCGTACTGACAAACATTGACTACATATTCAGTAAGGGAGTATTTTACACGTAGAAATATGACGATTGACCGTATTCCTATCCTCCACATAGAAATCCAGTTAAAGTAAGAAATGATACAAAGCACATTCCTGTTGCATGTGAGTAAGTGCTAAGGCATCAATTTCGTAAACCAAAAACAATGGGTTCAAACCCCATCCATGAGTATAAAGCGATATATGAAAACAAAGCGGTATATTTGCACTCAGGTATGGAAAAAAATGGCTTTGTGTTCTACAATGGGCATACTTTACACATTGAAATACTGAGATTGGCAATATTTTTTTCCTCCCTAAATAAATCCATTGAAAGTAAGAAATTACACGCACATTTTCGTACATTTTGTGGCGTGGTGGCCAAGTGGTAAGGCGTCGGTCTCGTAAACCGAAGATCATGGGTTCAAACCCCATCCATGCCTATCAAGGATAATTTGAATGCAAAGGGAAATGTTGTGTGCACTCATGCTTCATACTCAGCAAGGGAATTCTGTACACATAGAAACCCAAATAAAGTAAGACGAAATGATACACAGTGCTGTTGTGTGGTGAGCAACTGAATTTTGTGAAATGATGGAATATATGAACATAAAGTGGTCTAAACTATTTGCAGTCCGGTGTGTACAAAAATGGCTTTGGCTCATGGCTCATACTCAGTAAGGGAATTTTTTACACATCGAAATTAGGAGTTCCATATTAAGGTATATATGTGGTCTAAACTATGTGCTGTGTATTTGCAGTCCGGTGTGTACAAAAATGGCTTTTGTTCTGCATTGGGTATACGTTACACATTGAAATACTGAGATTGACAATAGTTTTGTCCTCCGTAAAGAAAGCCAACAAGAGTAAGAAAAAAAAATACTTGAACAAATTTAATCTGTTATGTGCTGTGGTGGCAAAGTTTTAAGGCATAGGTCGCGTAACCCAAAGATCATGGGGTCAAACAATATCCATGCCTACAAAGGTATCTATGACGGTAAACTATCTGCTGTTTATTTGCACTCAGGTGTAGACAAAAGTGTTTCATGTTCTGCTGTGTGAATGCGTCAAAAGTTGAAATACTGAGATTAACGTTATTTGTCCTCACTTAAGAAATCCAACGAAAGTAAGACTATAAACATGTTGTGTGGCGAGGTGGCCAAGTGTTAAGGCGCCGGTCTTCTGAACCCGAAGATCATAGGTTTGAACCCCTTTCTAGCCTGGAAAGCTATATATGAATGTAAAGTGGTACAAACATTTTTTCCCTCAGTGTTCAACAAAATTGGCTTTGTGCTCTACAATGTGCATACTTTAAGGATGAAAAAAAGGTACAAAGCACATGCTCCTCTATTGTGTGGTGGCCAAGTGGTAAGGCTTTTGTCTCATACACCAAAGATCATTTGTTCAAACCCCATTTATGCCTATCAAGGTCTGTTTAAATCACACAGCTAGGTCGTCTACGCTATATGTATTTCATTCACAGTTGCGTACTGACAAACATTGACTACATATTCAGTAAGGGAGTATTTTACACGTAGAAATATGACGATTGACCGTATTCCTATCCTCCACATAGAAATCCAGTTAAAGTAAGAAATGATGTAAAGCACGTTCCTATTGCATGTGAGTAAGTGCTAAGGCGTCAATTTCGCAAACCAAAAACAATGGGTTCAAACCCCATCCATGACTATAAAGCTATATATGAAAACAAAGCGTTATATTTGCACTCAAGTATGGAAAAAATGGCTTTGTGTTCTACAATGGGCATGCTTTACACATTGAAATACTGAGATTGGCAATATTTTTTTCCTCCCTAAATAAATCCATTGAAAGTAAGAAATTACACGCACATTTTCTTGCATTGTGTGGCGTGGTGGCCAAGTGGTAAGGCGTCGGTCTCGTAAACCGAAGAGCATGGGTTCAAACCCCATCCATGCCTATCAAGGACAATTTGAATGCAAAGGGAAATGTTGTGTGCACTCATGCTTCATACTCAGCAAGGGAATTCTGTACACATAGAAACCCAAATAAAGTAAGAACAAATGATACACAGTGCTGTGGTGAGCAAGTGAATTTTGTGAAATGATGGGTTTCTTATGATGGAATATATGAACATAAAGTGGTCTAAGCTATTTGCTGTATGTTTGCAGTCCGGTGTGTACAAAAATGGCTTTGGCTCCTACTCAGTAAGGGAATTCTTTACACATCGAAATTAGGAGTTCCATATTAAGGTATGTATGTGGTCTAAACTATGTGCTGTGTATTTGCAGTCCGGTGTGTACAAAAATGGCTTTTGTTCTGCATTGGGTATACTTTACACATTGAAATACTGAGATTGACAATAGTTTTGTCCTCCGTAAAGAAAGCCAACAAGAGTAAGAAAAAAAAATACTTGAACAAATTTAATCTGTTATGTGCTGTGGTGGCAAAGTTTTAAGGCATAGGTCTCGTAAGCCAAAGATCATGGGGTCAAACAATATCCATGCCTACAAAGGTATCTATGACCGTAAACTATCTGCTGTTTATTTGCACTCAGGTGTAGACAAGAGTGTTTCATGTTCTGCTGTGTGAATACGTCAAAAGTTGAAATACTGAGATTAACGTTATTTGTCCTCACTTAAGAAATCCAACGAAAGTAAGACTATAAACATGTTGTGTGGCGAGGTGGCCAAGTGTTAAGGCGCCGGTCTTCTGAACCCGAAGATCATAGGTTTGAACCCCATTCTAGCCTGGAAAGCTATATATGAATGTAAAGTGGTACAAACATTTTTTCCCTCAGTGTTCAACAAAATTGGCTTTGTGCTCTACAATGTGCATACTTTAAGGATGAAAAAAAGGTACAAAGCACATGCTCCTCTATTGTGTGGTGGCCAAGTGGTAAGGCGTTTGTCTCATACACCAAAGATCATTTGTTCAAACCCCATTTATGCCTATCAAGGTCTGTTTAAATCAGAGAGCTAGGTCGTCTACGCTATATGTATTTCATTCACACTTGCGTACTGACAAACATTGACTACATATTCAGTAAGGGAATATTTTACACGTAGAAATATGACGATTGACCGTATTCCTATCCTCCACATAGAAATCCAGTTAAAGTAAGAAATGATACAAAGCACATTCCTGTTGCATGTGAGTAAGTGCTAAGGCGTCAATTTCGTAAACCAAAAACAATGGGTTCAAACCCCATCCATGACTATAAAGCGCTATATGAAAACAAAGCGGTATATTTGCACTCAGGTATGGAAAAAAATGGCTTTGTGTTCTACAATGGGCATACTTTACACATTGAAATACTGAGATTGGCAATATTTTTTTCCTCCCTAAATAAATCCATTGAAAGTAAGAAATTACACGCACATTTTCGTACATTTTGTGGCGTGGTGGCCAAGTGGTAAGGCGTCGGTCTCGTAAACCGAAGATCATGGGTTCAAACCCCATCCATGCCTATCAAGGATAATTTGAATGCAAAGGGAAATGTTGTGTGCACTCATGCTTCATACTCAGCAAGGGAATTCTGTACACATAGAAACCCAAATAAAGTAAGACGAAATGATACACAGTGCTGTTGTGTGGTGAGCAACTGAATTTTGTGAAATGATGGAATATATGAACATAAAGTGGTCTAAACTATTTGCAGTCCGGTGTGTACAAAAATGGCTTTGGCTCATGGCTCATACTCAGTAAGGGAATTTTTTACACATCGAAATTAGGAGTTCCATATTAAGGTATATATGTGGTCTAAACTATGTGCTGTGTATTTGCAGTCCGGTGTGTACAAAAATGGCTTTTGTTCTGCATTGGGTATACGTTACACATTGAAATACTGAGATTGACAATAGTTTTGTCCTCCGTAAAGAAAGCCAACAAGAGTAAGAAAAAAAAATACATGAACAAATGTAATCTGTTTTGTGCTGTGGTGGCAAAGTGTTAAGGCATAGGTCGCATAAGCCAAAGATCATGGGGTCAAACATGCCTACAAAGGTATCTATGACCGTAAACTATCTGCTGTTTATTTGCACTCAGGTGTAGACAAAAGTGTTTCATGTTCTGCTGTGTGAATGCGTCAAAAGTTGAAATACTGAGATTAGCGTTATTTGTCCTCACTTAAGAAATCCAACGAAAGTAAGAATATAAACATGTTGTGTGGCGAGGTGGCCAAGTGTTAAGGCGCCGGTCTTCTGAACCTGAAGATCATAGGTTTGAACCCCATTCTAGCCTGTAAAGCTATATATGAATGTAAAGTGGTACAAACGTTTTTTTTCCGTCAGTGTTCAACAAAACTGGCTTAGTGCTCTACAATGTGCATACTTTAAGGAAGAAAAAAAGTTACAAAGCAAATTCTCCTATGTTGTGTGGTGGCCAAGTGGTAAGGCGTTTGTCTCATAAACCAAAGGTCATTTGTTCAAACCCCATTTATGCCTATCATGGTCTGTTTAAATCAGAGAGCTAGGTCGTCTACGCTATATGTATTCCGTTCACACTTGCGTCCTGACAAACATTGACTACATATTCAGTAAGGGAATATTTTACACGTAGAAATATGAAGATTGACCGTATTCCTATCCTCCACATAGAAATCCAGTTAAAGTAAGAAATGATGTAAAGCACGTTCCTGTTGCATGTGAGTAAGTGCTAAGGCGTCAATTTCGCAAACCAAAAACAATGGGTTCAAACCCCATCCATGACTATAAAGCTATATATGAAAACAAAGCGTTATATTTGCACTCAAGTATGGAAAAAATGGCTTTGTGTTCTACAATGGGCATGCTTTACACATTGAAATACTGAGATTGGCAATATTTTTTTCCTCCCTAAATAAATCCATTGAAAGTAAGAAATTACACGCACATTTTCTTACATTGTGTGGCGTGGTGGCCAAGTGGTAAGGCGTCGGTCTCGTAAACCGAAGATCATGGGTTCAAACCCCATCCATGCCTATCAAGGACAATTTGAATGCAAAGGGAAATGTTGTGTGCACTCATGCTTCATACTCAGCAAGGGAATTCTGTACACATAGAAACCCAAATAAAGTAAGAAGAAATGATACACAGTGCTGTTGTGTGGTGAGCAAGTGAATTTTGTGAAATGATGGGTTTCTTATGATGGAATATATGAACATAAAGTGGTCTAAGCTATTTGCTGTATGTTTGCAGTCCGGTGTGTACAAAAATGGCTTTGGCTCCTACTCAGTAAGGGAATTCTTTACACATCGAAATTAGGAGTTCCATATTAAGGTATGTATGTGGTCTAAACTATGTGCTGTGTATTTGCAGTCCGGTGTGTACAAAAATGGCTTTTGTTCTGCATTGGGTATACTTTACACATTGAAATACTGAGATTGACAATAGTTTTGTCCTCCGTAAAGAAAGCCAACAAGAGTAAGAAAAAAAAATACTTGAACAAATTTAATCTGTTATGTGCTGTGGTGGCAAAGTTTTAAGGCATAGGTCGCGTAAGCCAAAGATCATGGGGTCAAACAATATCCATGCCTACAAAGGTATCTATGACCGTAAACTATCTGCTGTTTATTTGCACTCAGGTGTAGACAAAAGTGTTTCATGTTCTGCTGTGTGAATGCGTCAAAAGTTGAAATACTGAGATTAACGTTATTTGTCCTCACTTAAGAAATCCAACGAAAGTAAGACTATAAACATGTTGTGTGGCGAGGTGGCCAAGTGTTAAGGCGCCGGTCTTCTGAACCCGAAGATCATAGGTTTGAACCCCATTCTAGCCTGTAAAGCTATATATGAATGTAAAGTGGTACAAACATTTTTTCCCTCAGTGTTCAACAGAATTGGCTTTGTGCTCTACAATGTGCATACTTTAAGGATGAAAAAAAGGTACAAAGCACATGCACCTCTATTGTGTGGTGGCCAAGTGGTAAGCCGTTTGTCTCATACACCAAAGATCATTTGTTCAAACCCCATTTATGCCTATCAAGGTCTGTTTAAATCACACAGCTAGGTCGTCTACGCTATATGTATTTCATTCACAGTTGCGTACTGACAAACATTGACTACATATTCAGTAAGGGAGTATTTTACACGTAGAAATATGACGATTGACCGTATTCCTATCCTCCACATAGAAATCCAGTTAAAGTAAGAAATGATACAAAGCACATTCCTGTTGCATGTGAGTAAGTGCTAAGGCATCAATTTCGTAAACCAAAAACAATGGGTTCAAACCCCATCCATGACTATAAAGCGATATATGAAAACAAAGCGGTATATTTGCACTCAGGTATGGAAAAAAATGGCTTTGTGTTCTACAATGGGCATACTTTACACATTGAAATACTGAGATTGGCAATATTTCTTTCCTCCCTAAATAAATCCATTGAAAGTAAGAAATTACACGCACATTTTCGTACATTTTGTGGCGTGGTGGCCAAGTGGTAAGGCGTCGGTCTCGTAAACCGAAGATCATGGGTTCAAACCCCATCCATGCCTATCAAGGATAATTTGAATGCAAAGGGAAATGTTGTGTGCACTCATGCTTCATACTCAGCAAGGGAATTCTGTACACATAGAAACCCAAATAAAGTAAGAAGAAATGATACACAGTGCTGTTGTGTGGTGAGCAAGTGAATTTTGTGAAATGATGGGTTTCTTATGATGGAATATATGAACATAAAGTGGTCTAAGCTATTTGCTGTATGTTTGCAGTCCGGTGTGTACAAAAATGGCTTTGGCTCCTACTCAGTAAGGGAATTCTTTACACATCGAAATTAGGAGTTCCATATTAAGGTATGTATGTGGTCTAAACTATGTGCTGTGTATTTGCAGTCCGGTGTGTACAAAAATGGCTTTTGTTCTGCATTGGGTATACGTTACACATTGAAATACTGAGATTGACAATAGTTTTGTCCTCCGTAAAGAAAGCCAACAAGAGTAAGAAAAAAAAATACATGAACAAATGTAATCTGTTTTGTGCTGTGGTGGCAAAGTGTTAAGGCATAGGTCGCATAAGCCAAAGATCATGGGGTCAAACATGCCTACAAAGGTATCTATGACCGTAAACTATCTGCTGTTTATTTGCACTCAGGTGTAGACAAAAGTGTTTCATGTTCTGCTGTGTGAATGCGTCAAAAGTTGAAATACTGAGATTAGCGTTATTTGTCCTCACTTAAGAAATCCAACGAAAGTAAGAATATAAACATGTTGTGTGGCGAGGTGGCCAAGTGTTAAGGCGCCGGTCTTCTGAACCTGAAGATCATAGGTTTGAACCCCATTCTAGCCTGTAAAGCTATATATGAATGTAAAGTGGTACAAACGTTTTTTTTCCGTCAGTGTTCAACAAAACTGGCTTAGTGCTCTACAATGTGCATACTTTAAGGAAGAAAAAAAGTTACAAAGCAAGTTCTCCTATGTTGTGTGGTGGCCAAGTGGTAAGGCGTTTGTCTCATACACCAAAGGTCATTTGTTCAAACCCCATTTATGCCTATCATGGTCTGTTTAAATCAGAGAGCTAGGTCGTCTACGCTATATGTATTCCGTTCACACTTGCGTCCTGACAAACATTGACTACATATTCAGTAAGGGAATATTTTACACGTAGAAATATGAAGATTGACCGTATTCCTATCCTCCACATAGAAATCCAGTTAAAGTAAGAAATGATGTAAAGCACGTTCCTGTTGCATGTGAGTAAGTGCTAAGGCGTCAATTTCGCAAACCAAAAACAATGGGTTCAAACCCCATCCATGACTATAAAGCTATATATGAAAACAAAGCGTTATATTTGCACTCAAGTATGGAAAAAATGGCTTTGTGTTCTACAATGGGCATGCTTTACACATTGAAATACTGAGATTGGCAATATTTTTTTCCTCCCTAAATAAATCCATTGAAAGTAAGAAATTACACGCACATTTTCTTATATTGTGTGGCGTGGTGGCCAAGTGGTAAGGCGTCGGTCTCGTAAACCGAAGAGCATGGGTTCAAACCCCATCCATGCCTATCAAGGACAATTTGAATGCAAAGGGAAATGTTGTGTGCACTCATGCTTCATACTCAGCAAGGGAATTCTGTACACATAGAAACCCAAATAAAGTAAGAAGAAATGATACACAGTGCTGTGTGGTGAGCAAGTGAATTTTGTGAAATGATGGGTTTCTTATGATGGAATATATGAACATAAAGTGGTCTAAGCTATTTGCTGTATGTTTGCAGTCCGGTGTGTACAAAAATGGCTTTGGCTCCTACTCAGTAAGGGAATTCTTTACACATCGAAATTAGGAGTTCCATATTAAGGTATGTATGTGGTCTAAACTATGTGCTGTGTATTTGCAGTCCGGTGTGTACAAAAATGGCTTTTGTTCTGCATTGGGTATACTTTACACATTGAAATACTGAGATTGACAATAGTTTTGTCCTCCGTAAAGAAAGCCAACAAGAGTAAGAAAAAAAAATACTTGAACAAATTTAATCTGTTATGTGCTGTGGTGGCAAAGTTTTAAGGCATAGGTCTCGTAAGCCAAAGATCATGGGGTCAAACAATATCCATGCCTACAAAGGTATCTATGACCGTAAACTATCTGCTGTTTATTTGCACTCAGGTGTAGACAAGAGTGTTTCATGTTCTGCTGTGTGAATACGTCAAAAGTTGAAATACTGAGATTAACGTTATTTGTCCTCACTTAAGAAATCCAACGAAAGTAAGACTATAAACATGTTGTGTGGCGAGGTGGCCAAGTGTTAAGGCGCCGGTCTTCTGAACCCGAAGATCATAGGTTTGAACCCCATTCTAGCCTGGAAAGCTATATATGAATGTAAAGTGGTACAAACATTTTTTCCCTCAGTGTTCAACAAAATTGGCTTTGTGCTCTACAATGTGCATACTTTAAGGATGAAAAAAAGGTACAAAGCACATGCTCCTCTATTGTGTGGTGGCCAAGTGGTAAGGCGTTTGTCTCATACACCAAAGATCATTTGTTCAAACCCCATTTATGCCTATCAAGGTCTGTTTAAATCAGAGAGCTAGGTCGTCTACGCTATATGTATTTCATTCACACTTGCGTACTGACAAACATTGACTACATATTCAGTAAGGGAATATTTTACACGTAGAAATATGACGATTGACCGTATTCCTATCCTCCACATAGAAATCCAGTTAAAGTAAGAAATGATACAAAGCACATTCCTGTTGCATGTGAGTAAGTGCTAAGGCGTCAATTTCGTAAACCAAAAACAATGGGTTCAAACCCCATCCATGACTATAAAGCGCTATATGAAAACAAAGCGGTATATTTGCACTCAGGTATGGAAAAAAATGGCTTTGTGTTCTACAATGGGCATACTTTACACATTGAAATACTGAGATTGGCAATATTTTTTTCCTCCCTAAATAAATCCATTGAAAGTAAGAAATTACACGCACATTTTCGTACATTTTGTGGCGTGGTGGCCAAGTGG